CCTACGAAACATCAGTGAAAAAAATTAAAGACCTGAACAAATGGAGAGACATCCCATGTTCATGGATTGGGAAACTTTATATTGTTAAAATAGCAATATTCCTTATAAAACACAGCACAATCCCTATCAAAATTCCAGCTGTGTGTTTTGTTGATTATAAAATTCATGTGGAACTGCAAGGGACCTCAAATAAACAAAGTGATCTTGAAAAAGAACAAAGTTGGGGGATTCACATCTCAAATTCAAAACCTAGCTATAGCAATCAAGCTGTAATAAGACAGTGTGGCACTGGCATAACGACAATGCAAGTCCAAAAAATAAAGTCTTATATTTATGGTCAATCATTTCTCAATAATGGTGCCAAGACCATCATAGGTAAACAAGTCTTTTCAACTGGGCTTGGACAACTGGACATCCACAAGCCAAAGAACAAAGCTGGATTCCTACAATGCACAATATGCAAAAATGGATCAAAGACCTAAAACTGTAAGACACTTACTAGAAAACAAGTGTAAATATTCATGACTTGGATTAGGTAAATTTTTTTTTTTAAAGATATGACACTTGAGGCACCTGGGTGGTTCAGTCAGTTGAGCGACCGACTTTGGCTCAGGTCATGATCTCACGGTTTGTGAGTTCGAGCCCCGCTTTGGGCTCTATGCTGACAGCTCTGAGCCTGGAGCCTGCTTCCAATTCTGTGTCTCCCTGTCTGCCCCTCCCCCCACTCATGCTCTGTCTCTCTCTCTCAGAAATAAACATTAAGGAAAAAAAAAAAGATATGACACCAAAAGCACAAGTCTCAAAAGAAAAAATAGAGAATTTGGACATCACCAAAATTGAAAATTTTTCTGCTTCAAAGAGCGCCATCAAGAAAGTGAAAATACTATCCAAAGAATGGGTGAAAATATTTGCAAGTAATTTACGTGTGTAGGGACTTGCATTTAGAATAAAGAACCAGCAATAAAAAGAACCCAATTAAAAAATGGGCAAAGGATCTGAATAAACATTTCTCCAAAGATGAACAAATGTCCAAAAAGCACATGAAAAGATGCTCAACATTATTAGTCATTAGGGAAATGTAAATCAAAACCATTGAAATACTTCATTCCCACTAGGATGGCTAGAATCAAAATGTCAATAATAAGTGTTGGCCAGGATATAGAGAAATTGGAACTCTTACACACAGTTGGTGGAAATAGTTAAGAGCCACTTTGGAAAGGTTTGATACTTCCTTGAGAGGAATAGGCATATGACTCCGCAATTCACTCCTATGTACATAACCAAGGGAAATAAAAACTTAGGTCCACATAAAAACCTGTACACAAATGTTCATAGTAGTAGTATTTATAATAGCCATAAAGCAGAAATAACACAAATATCCATCAAATGAATGACCAAAATATGGCATATAAATACAATGAAATATTCAGCCATAGAAAGAAATGAAGTACTGATACATGCTGCAACATAAATGCACCTTGAAAACATTGTTCTAAGTGGGAAAAAAAGTCATATACAAAGGCCACATATTGCACGATTCCATTGACATGAAATGTCCCAAGTAGGCAAATCTATAGACAGAAAGATTGGCGGTTACCAGGGGCTTTGGTGGGAGGTGGGGGGGTGGGGGTGGGATTGGGGAAGTAGTGAGGGGAGAATAAACAGCCACTCTAATGGGTACAGGAATTTTATTTTTTTTTACAGTGATAAAAATGCTTTGTATAAAATGGTGATAGTTGCACAATTTTGTGAATATTCTAAAAGCAACTAATTGCGCACATTAAAATGGTGAATTTTATTGGATGAGGGAGGGTCAACTCTTGCCAAAGAAATCTTCACTATAAATTATCTTCAACTTCTCCATGGACTCTGCTCTTAATTGGCAACTATTGAGAATCTCAGTCTCTCAGGATGTTTTGCATAAGGCTGTCTAGTATCTGTTATCTCAACTTTGCTGAATCCTGATAACCAGCAATGAGGTAAGCTTGGATATCAGAATCCAAGCTGAGGGCAGGACAGGGCCAGGACTGAGAACCAGTCATTTGACTCTGAAGGCTGCACCCTCAACAGCTGTGTACCTTTACCAGTCACATGCTTATCCCATTTTCTATGGTTTCTTAAAGACCAGAAGATAGCTAGGATAATTATTCCACATCCTGCTCAAATGCACTTAAGAATCCTGACTTGATGGTTGACTTGTAGTAATGGTTATGAGGTTCTGGGAAAAACAGGCATTCATCGTGGTGCTTCATTTAGTATAAATGCATAGTAGTTGGCAGATTGCTCCTTGATAGACATGAGGAGCTGGCAACAGTGGGATGATGTGATGCCTGCCTCCATCTCCACTGGGAAAGGAATGTGGCCACAGCAAGGCTGCACAGAGGCTTCTCGTTGTCAGAGCACATCCAAAGGGCAGGGCTGGGAAAGTCCCATATTCTTGCTCTCAAGGAATCTGTCCTTTTCATCCTCCCCCTCTCACTAATTTATCTTTCCATGAGTCGAAACACAGCCAGTGATTCTGGGGAGACACTGCCCCAAGAAGAAAGTCCTTCAGTCACAAAACATTAAAATATTCAAAAATAAAAAAAACTTTTATTTTTAATGTTTATTTATTTTCAAGAGTCAGAGCGTGAGCGGGGTGGGGGCAGAGAGGGAGACACAGAATCTGAAGCAGGCTCCAAGCTGTCAGCACAGAACCCGACGTGGGGCTCAAACTCAACGAACGATGCAATCATGACCTGGCCGAAGTAGGAGGCTCAACTGACTGAGCCACCAAGGCACCCCTAAAAAAGCCTTTTTTTGGGGGGGAGAAGTGTGGGAAGACAAGGAGGCAGAGGCCACCTTTAGTGAAAAAACAGGAAGCTACATTGAACATTCTATTGCATGCTGAGTCATTTTCAATCATTCACGTAGTGACAAGCTGGTGGAGATGATAAAAAACAAAACAAAATCCCATAACCTTTACCATGAATTGGCACACATTCTAGGTAATGGTTATGGGGGGGAAATTCCATTCACCCCTCACTGTTCAAAAAAGAAATGTGCCCCAGTATGCTGTGCTACCATGAAAGCGTGGGCTGCTGTGAGGTCACATGAGCACTTTGGGGGTCAATGAAGTTTTTATGGGTGAGGTACTTTTTAAATTTTGGTTTTGAAGGGTATTTGAGAAATATAAAAATGATTAGGCACAAATGTAGATGCTGGGTGGGGATGCAGGGAGAGAAGTGCCCATAATAGAAGGCAAAAGTGGAAAAGTATGTGGGGCTCAGTCTATGGAGGGTTTTAGACGCCAAGCTTGAGGAATATTTCTAATGGGAATAAATTTTGAGGCAGAAGTTATTTAAATAAGCAAAACTGCATTTTAGCAGAATGAAAAAGACTGGAAGAGGTTACAGTCAGGGTGGCTAGTTAGAAAGCTACCAAGAGCAACCAGGTGATTCAATGGACCAGGACCTGAAAGGAAGTAGGATGAAGGAATGAACAGCTGGGAAGATTGGAGGGAAAAGAGCGGATACAAGCTGTGACAACTGAGGGATGAAGGATTTTGGTGACTGGGTTGAAAGTGACCCTTTAAAGGGAGAAACAATAGGTAGAGATGCAAGATTAAGTTTTGGTATCGACTTTGAGATGCCAGAAAGATATCCTGGGGCTAGGGTCTGAACAGAAAATAGGGATTTAGATAAGAATCTTAAGGAGTCGTTGAGGTTGACCAGAGAGAATTGGGCAAGACAAGAACTTTAATTATAGTATCCATCCAAGATCTGGACAGTATACATCCAACCAAAAAAAGGAACCAAATAACAGGCAAATTAAGTTCAAGTTGTTGGCAAGACTAGAGCCCTTACTGGCAATTCAGGTTATGAGCATTCTTCAGGACAGCATTTTCAGTAGGACAGAAATGGATTAGCAGCATTTCTCACAGACATTTGCATTAAAATCTTTTAGTTTTTTGTTTTTGTTTTTTTAACAAAAGCCAATCTACTGGATTTGAACAGGGAAGAGGAAAAAGCTTTGGGACTTTGCATTTGACACTCTGTCCTCCCCAGGAAATTCTCTATAGACTAATGACACTGAGTAGAGGAAGACAAGAGGGAGTAAAATAGAAGCTTGTTTTTGAATTCTTTGGTGGCTCAGGGAAGGGGTGGGAGGGGTAGAGATGTTCCTTAAGAAGCTATGGAAAGTAAAAGTGGTAAGGTAAAAAAAAAAGATTAGATAGATAGATGACAGGATGGATAGATAGATAGCAAGGGGATCAAGACTACAAATAGAGTAGCCTCAGGAAAACAGTCCTTCCTGTAACAGACTATGAAACTGAGAAAAACCCCAAAGGGGCTTAAAACCCCAGCACAGTTGTGTTCTTATAGGAAAGGGAATGACATTGCTAGGTCACAACTATGAATGAATAACATCAGCAGTTCAGTTTGAAGCCTCATTTTCAAGTTGTTTTTTGTTTGGATATTTATCTTCCCTACACAAGTTTGTATCCCCAAATGAGGCTACGGAAGTTGTAATTGTATTTTATCACACAATTAACCACAACCCAGGAAAGTAGTATACAGTATAGGGTCAGGAAATCTAACTCATTTGCTGAAGCTGCCAGGCTCCGGGAAAATTTGGCTTCAAGTTGTATTTTTATATTGCATGTTTGGAATTTTCTAAAATAATAAAATATTAAACACAAAGTTTCCATTTGGAAATTTCATTATTTTAGTTTATGGTTCATTTTGTCCCAGAACTTCTTGGGAGACTGTAGGCTGACAGATAACCAAAATGTAAGATTGTCCAGGCAAAAATGTGCTTTAATAATATGACATTTGGGGTAGAGTAAGTAGTCATTAGTCAAAATTTCTGTTTTCCTCTTCCTTGAGATATTGTTCAGTGGCATTCTGGTAAACAGTAGTGAACAGGAGGCAATGATAAGAAGTGGTAACATGCCCAGGATAATTATTAAGCAAGTGAGAGAGGCTACTATGGACAACCAATGACTTTTTCTCTTAGAA